TAAATGTAACATACACAGTCTCTACAAGTATTCAAAAGTTTTTGCAATGAAGCAATCCTGTTTAATATTGCATGTCATGATTTCATATATACAATAAATAGTATAAATTTAGAAATGGAAAAAAAAATGAGACAAAAAGAATAGCAAGTGATTTTGCTCTTCAAGTATAAAGTATTAATTGTATGCAAAAGTAGACCCTACGCCAAAGGGAGGTTGTAAATTGAGGACACCAAAGGCTAACAAGACAAATTCCGCTAAAAGGATCCAGATATGGTATAAAAAAAAAAAAATTCAGAACTAATAAAAGGTTAATCGTTGCATGTATGTATGTTACCATTATATCACTGGACTGACCATGTGTAAAAATAAATATGTTTTTGTATGTATTGATTTTCTATTTACAGAAAATACTATCTACCACAATTCTCTCCGCTCACCTGAGATATCAAACGAATGCCAGTGGAATCCTCCGCCATTACACTCGTACTTATCCTTGATAATGGCGCGTCCAAGGCAGGTTCCCGTGCGGCTCTCCACGTACCCGAAGAAGACCTGACTCCAGAAGTACCAAAGGCACGTGCCGACCAGGAGGCGCGACATGTGCCTCCTGATGACCTCCCTGTGCCCACAGCCTATGGTCGCGCTGGTCAGGAGTACGAAAGCGCCCACGACCAGGAGCAGCCACACCCACAGGAACTTGACAAAGTACACGTTGAAGACATTGTCCCTCTGGCCCATGTAGATCCTGGGCAAGGGCAGGAAGTCGCAGAGCAGCGAGCCCACGAAGAGCGAGAGGGAGTACAGCGCGATCTTGACCTCCGTCTCGATGAACAGGACCTTGCGGCACCCTTGCACCACGATGAGGCTCAGGACGTGCTGGACGGACGCCTGCTCGGGCAGGGGCTTGGTGCCCTTGGCCGCCCACCGCCCCTTCTCTATGGGGGCCTTGAACGACCTCTGCGACGGCGCGCTGCGACCCTTCCGGGCGGAGGCCGTTCCCGCAGGCATGGCTGCTGCCTCGCTCCTGCTGGTCCTCCTTCTCGGCCGTAAGAACCTCGAGTCGAGGCTCACCTGCTGGCCATTGACAGTGACTCGCCGACGCCTCGACCTCACCGCTCGGCCAAGTCTATTTCTGGACTCAGGTCGTGGCGGCGGCGGTCGTCCCCCTCTGCTCTCTCCTTCCCCTCTCGCGCCGTGTCACTCCTCGCTTGTGGCATCGAGAGGGATATTATACCAAGGGCTTCATTTATGGAATCTGCTCCTTTCTCATATAAGCCAAAAAATGCCAATACAAGGCGACAGAGTATGGTTCAGGCCGCCCTTCAGACTTTGTTTTTAGTCGAAGCAGACGACGCAATTGCATTTTGTTGACATGCTCATCTAACTTATTGCAAGCTGTTGTTACAGTCCCTGCATATTTTACAATTCTACTTAAAACAAATACATTGTAGTTTGTATTTCTATAGCAAAAAACACAACATTAGACCATATCAAAATATATAACTGACTTAAGTGGCGGGAGGTTTAAAATTCCGCGAACATTTGCCTCTTGATAAAAAAAATCAAGACATATCTTTCATCTATAGTTAATTGTCAAATGAAAGGTTATACGGAAAATATTTCAATTTTGAAAACAGAAAATAAAAAGAATGAACACCGATGTATGTCAAGGTATAGGTAATAATATTACGCACATTTATCGGGAAAAATAACAATAACAACAACAAGATGATAATAATGACGGGAATGGTGATGATAATGATAAGATTTTCGTTAGTAATAAAAAGTGATAAATATAATGGTAATAATAGTAATAATGAAAAATAATAATGATCCTTATAATAGTAGTAACAATAACAATAATAATAATAATAATAATGAAATAAAGAAATAATGATAATGATAAAAATAATAACAACAACAACAATAATAATAACAATTAAAATAATAATAATGATAATAATGATAATAGTAAGAATGATGATAATAAAAGTAATAATGATAATGGTAATAATAATAATAATGATAATAACAATAATAATAATAATAATAATTATTATTATTATTATTATTGTGGTAATTGTAATAATAATGATTGTAGTAATGATAACAGAAGCAGCAGCCGCAACAATAACAACAATAATAATCATAGTAATGAAATAATAATAGTAATAATAATAATGATAACAGCAAAAACAATAATAGTAACAGTGCTGATAATGATAACAATCTTTATGATGATAACAACAATCACAGAAAATCATGCCAACTGTTATAGGTTAAATTTGTTATAAACTTCTAGATTTTAAAACTGGGCGCTTTCATTGATCTCTCTAGCTCTCTGCCCTTTGTTTGTTTGTTTGTCTGTTTGCATGTTTCACGTGACTCCCTATATATCTCTCCCTCCCCCCCCCTCTCTCTCTCTCTCTCTCTCTCTCTCTCTCTCTCTCTCTCTCTCTCTCTCTCTCTCTCTCTCTCTCTCTCTCTCTCTCTCTCTCTC